GTCACGTGGCTCCTTGTCTTCAAACATTCAGATCATTAATCAGAGGGTTATGCAATTTTGCAATTACAAGAAGATTCTCATTTATTTGTATTTCTTAAAATACAATTTTGGGACGTTTTCTGTATTTTAATACGCGAAATCCGTCGTACAGTTAGATAAAGAGACACATGGCCTCATCATAATAGGCCAAGACGCCTTGTCATGGGCGGCATTCTATCAATCCTAGGTTTAGGCGCATTTCATGTTTTTGACCAATAGCCACACGATGGCCTAGGCTTGAGATGTAAGGACTAGATTTTATAAGTAGACTTTGTAGAGTGGCTACTGTAGACGGGGTATATCAATTGTTGAAGATTTTTGCACAAAAGATCTTCTAGAGAACATGCCTCTTTTACTTAAGGGCCATATGGATTGGTGCAGCAGCACTTCACATGTAGTTTAGGTCTCTTCATAGAGGGTCAGCGAGTTTATCATCTTGACCATAGAGGAGCCTCGGCTAGGCAAAGTAAGGTGATAATGCGGAGTGTGAGCCTGGGTTTGCTTGGACGTGGCTGTCACATGGTTGTTCTTTGGAGCCTCATCAAACGAAGTTTAATAGAAATGTAGAAAACGAGATAGGTAAAGTTGATAAACACAAAGAATATAATGAATTTTTCATGTTTTTGAAACTAAGTTACTTCCACAATTGACGAGGAGCTTTATGTCGGTTTCTTAGAGGAGTGGTCCAAAGAGTGGTATAACAAATGCAAGGTAATTCTCAAGATTATTTAAGTTCAAGACATTAGGAAAAAGAAATCTTACAGTCACGCAAAATTTATTATGGTTTGCGATTAGATTCACTTGAGATTGAAGAAAAGGAAAAGGTTTTGGAAATTGTAATTCATGATATAGGCAACTTGTATGAATAATGCCATTAAATGTAACACTTATAAATTGGGAAATAACAAATGTGATTATTAATGCATTTTGCAGAGCCGATAGAAACGTGATTGTTTTTCATGAGCTAATCGTATACACTAAGATTCACGTAAAATATTGGATTGGAAGGAACTCATTTGTATTAGTAGACCTGCCATTAGAAATCGGTACTATGTCATCGATGCATTCATAGAAGCACTGAGAAATTTTAAAGTGATTTTTGTGCGAGTAAGTGATGAAGGACACGTGGATTAGTGTGCGTATGCAGTTATGGAGCTTTGATTGGTTATTTTACTCGATTTCTTTTGATTTGTACTTCATTTTTCATATTTTCGGATGACATTTCCATTAGACAATGTTGGCGAATAAAGTGTTGAAAATGAGGAAAAAAGTGATAAACATGTGTTGAAATTAGTGAACGAGCACAATTTGAGCAGAAGTACAATGTTGAGAGAGTCCATGGTGAAAAGTAAGTGAAAAATAGCTAGAAAAGCTCACCCATGCGATCTCCCCAAGCCAATCTGACGGGTGAGAACATAAAACTTGGTATTTAAATTTTGACTTTTACTCGATTTTCAAGGGTAATTTTAGACATATGGCATTAAACCCTGATATACCCATCTATATATGTTAGATGTCTTGGATGCCAAAAGTGGTTGGACTGTTGGACAAGAGACGGGATAAAAACGTAATTCTCACAGCTAGTTTTTCAATAAAAGAAGGAACAAGAAGCAAAGCTTATGATTCAACCTCAAGATTAGAATTCAATCTTATTTCATCTTTCATCTTTTATTCTTAATTCGGAGATGCTATTCTTCAACTCCATGTTTATGTATGTTATGAACATGCTCGACTAATTCAATAGATAGGATGAACGACATGGTCTATTTTTAATTGTTTTAAAAGAAAT